CATGCCAGAGCTGCTGTACCCTATTCACTGGTCACGACTTCCCACTAGAAATCAGGCAACTACCTACCTGAATAGGGCAGCCAGTCGTTAATGAGCATCTCATTGATATTCAAGTATTGGTTTGTAGGGATTTGATTTTCCTTATCTTTTGTAAAAAACAATGCCCAAAATGCGTTCTTGTATCAATGGAGAGGTGATGATTGTTTGTCTAATCACTGACTGACTGCGGAACCCCTGCATATATGGGTGAATTTCAACAGTCTGAACAGACGTGAGGGTGTGATGTTACCTGATAATAATAATAATAATTTCGCTTTTATTCCAGAAATAGTACTAGTGATACAGTGTGGAATTTTTAGCACATATCTACAATATTGCATCTAATTTCATCGGACATTTAAAAGGAGTATTTCAAAAAAATATGTATAAAAAACAACAACAAAAACCAAAAAGAAACACAAAAATAACAAAAAAATGCAAATAAAAATACCAAGTAGAAAGGAAGATAAACACCAATAGTGAAAAAATATTTCAGTATTTGGTAGTGGAAGCTATGATATGTGTGTGCGTAGTGAACAGTAACAGCTATAATCATACACGAAGTTATGAAATGTTCTTAAGAATGTTTATAGCCAAGATGATCAGTTAATTTGATTGAACTACACTAAACAATCATAAAATAAACATTTCAGGGTTTTCATTTTTATTGTCAGCACTAATGCAGTGTTTGTGATGCATGGTAAATCCTGATTATTAAACAAAAAATGGACATGTACCAATAATTAATCACACCTGATCAAAATTCCCATTTGTTTATATACTCTTATGGAAAGGTTAACCAATGTTTTACAACTGCATATCCATACACATATGTACACACACACACACCATTGTATATTGCGTTTTCACATATATTTTTCAACCATGAACTTTTGGTTGAATGTAATCTGATAAAAAAAGTACATTCTGTTAAAGGTGTTTAACAAAAGTAGACTAATTTTTGAAAGACTGAGGTCAAATTTTGATCACAGTTCATACAATTTTGGGTAGTGTTATTAGAAGACAGAGATTATATGAAAAATAATGTGATGTATCTGCGCTATACATTTCGAAAAATCTGATCCTGCACACATTTACTGTCAAGTCGATATATATGAAAAAAAATAAGGGTAATTAAATTGAACAAAGTGAGAAAATTAAAACCATTAGTCCCTTTGATAAATTTGAATAAGGCATTAAGAAGACAAATTTCGCCACGAGATGATATCGTCATTTCGTAGTTTCTTTACAACCGCTTTACAACTAACATGGTTAACAATAATAAAATAATAAAAGTTCATGACAATTACCCAGTTAAATAAAAAACAAAAGTACATACTAATGACCAATCATATTTAGATAGGTCATGTTGTCCATCGTAGGCGAAGGTTGAAGTCTATTGATTTTTGTACACACAGTTTAGGCTGTATGTGATGATTAATCCAAAGTCCTTCCATCACCTTCACTAACTGTGATGTACTCGTCGCTAAATTATTGTTATGGACTGGTCGAGAATTTAATAGTCCTGACGCAAGAAGACGGAAATCAGAAGACCACTAGGTTTGCGATGATACTTCTATTTTCCAAACACAAGGAGAATGCAAAAGTGGTATCACACCAAAGTGTCACACAAGATTGTGAGAGCGAAATATATATGAATGTCCAGACAAGTGTGTGAACAAATCAATAGACAGTCTTAACATGAATGGCTAATTATAATGGAGTGTCGATCCAAATATACATAGCAAAATATAGCAGACATGTCAACAACCACCATATATGGATACATGTCACCAAGCAACGGACTGTCAACAAACACTCATGTTATATATAATATAAGGAGAATATACGTTGTTAAAGGAGACAGGTGAAAATGGTCACAGACTAAGCGAGCAAACAGGAAGAGAGACCAACATACACACACACATAAATATATATATGTGGATACATATCAATAACCTTGAATTAGAGTTATGTGAAATAATTGTGAAACACTCATTAATATTGATTTTGTGACCTTTGCAATGGATGATGACGCTGACGGTTTTCTATTCAGATTAATAATTGCATTGGGATTTACTGTGTTTTAATAACCATTTTGGAACATGTTCTTCTCCGAGACCACACTGGAACATTCTGTTGGTTCTACCTATGTATAAGCGTCACCGCAGCTGCAGGTGAACTTGTAGATACAGTTTGAAGTAGTGTCCGCAGAATTGTATCCTTTAATCGTAGGTACAGGGATCGAAAATGTTCGGCAAGTGAGGCAAAGAGATTCGGCGTAGAATGTGTACGCTTGATGGCTGACCGAAGTCTTTGAGCTAGCTGTCAACTGCATAATCTGGTCGCCCTTGAATGGCAAGTTAATAAAGATAGCTTTCATTGGTACAGAAGCTGTCTTTTCAGGATATGGTCTATCCTTACCGTGACAAGTGATGAAGTTCTCCAGATAACCATTAACTAATAAAACTGAATGTATATGTCAAAACTCATCCATCAATGTGTCACTTGTGCATATTTTGTGGGCCTTTGAAGAAAAACGTTTCACTAGGAAAGGTTAATACTGGAAAGGAATAAAGTTTTTCCGAGTTGATCACGGATTGTTATCAGTTAGAGAAAAGGTGAAAACCTGGGAGTACTGGACAGATGTTTCATCCTAGTTTGGGAATCACCGGCAATACGCACCCACCGTCAGGGGTTCGAACCCAGGACAAGCTAACTCGTATACCATTCAGTCACTGTGACCCGATTCAATGGCTCATGATTTCTACCTTCTATCAATTCGTGATTTAGCGCAACTTCAACTCGTAAAAACAAAACCAACCCTTACAAACCAAACTATAGAAAATTAATCTGATGCTCGCTAGTGAGTGACTTGTTACAGGATGGAGTTTCCTAGAGTTAGTTCTAGTGAGAAGTCGTGACCAGTGAGGTTCATCCAGATGTCACGTGTGTGGATTGATGTCCCACCTACTACAATGGTTGGGGTCACGCTAAATCACGAATTGGTATAAGTGAGAATTCATGGACTGACTGGCCATTGAATCGGGTCCCAGTGGCTAAATGCTATACGGGTTAGCTTGCCTTGTAACCGGAAGGTCCTGGGTTCGAACCCCCTGACGGTGGGTGCGTATTGCCGGTGATTCTCAAACTAGGATGAAACAGCAGCTGTCCAGTACTCCCAAGTTTTCACCTTTTCTCTAACTGATAACAATCCGTGATCAACTCGTAAAAACAAAACCAACCCTGACAAATCCATCTATGAATAATAATAAAATGTTTTTGAATACACAGGTAGGGGGGGATCTTAAGTTTATGAATAGCTATAGCCTCAGCGTATTTTTATAATCTTACTTGACCATTCTTACAGATGACCTAAAATACTGTGTTAACATCAATCTTATGGTTCATCTCGATTAGATGTTTAACAATTGACGAAGTTAGTAGCCTGACACCTGCCTCTTTTGGTTTTTCACAATTCATTTGTTTTTCCAACCATTTCGGGATGTACCTTCTCACCCTCACTTGCAAAGCACGATTACTCCTCCCTATGTATGCGTGTCCACACACACACAAATTGGCAAATAGTGTGTGGGGTGTGACATATTCACTTGTGCACTTTTGAGGTTTGCAGTGGAGTATATTCTTGGTTTGTATCAATAATTCCAAACCGGGCTACATATTAGGTCCCACGGATGATCGAATTCAACCTATGTCTCAAAATCCTACTGTTTATTTCCCCGTTATGTGGTAATTTGATGAAAACATTTTTCTTAGGTGCGGTACAGATTGTAGGTTTAACGACTAATTCAGTCCTATACCTGTTTAAAAATTGTAAAGGATATCCGTTTTCAGCAAGACTATCGATCAACATTTCATTTTCTCCGTCTATAACATCAGATGTGCAAATACGCTGAATCCTCTTAAATAGACACTTCACCAAGCCTCTCTTATACTGTAATGGACAGAAACTGTGAAAATTAACCTACCTTGGTAATCCTTATTTGATTGGATTATGAAACGTTGTGTTAATCATTCTTAAATCTGTTTTTTTGTCATTTTGTTTAATTTAATTGCCCTTAATTTTTCATATATATCGACTTGACAAGTAAATGTGTGTGGGATCAGATTGTTCAAAATGTATAGCTCAAATACACCACATTATTTTTCAGATAATCTCCGTCTTCTAATAACACTATCATACGATTGTGTTTATTATACATGTTGATACCTGTTTCATGACTTATTTGATTGGACAAAGTTTTTAAAAACAAGAGATCTTCCCCTTTCTATATATATAAACCTCTGCTATGTTAATTTCGATTAATTTCCCTAAAGAAGTTCGGACCGGTTTACCGAAGGCAGGAAACGTTGGAATTACTCTATTCAGTTTCTCTAAGATTTTACAAATATAATTTTTTGCAAATGTCTACTTCTCACTTAGCGCCCAATTATTTTCGGTTATATCTTGATCACATTTCATATGCCTTATTTCCCTAATTAGAATTTAATTGGTGAATGGTGACTTGCAGCGGAATCCAGGATGACGCGCATTTCGTCCTATTTGGAAATCATCTTCCAGCTGAACGTACCTGCATTCCTTCCCAGTGAGTGATGACGTTCCCACCACTGGGGTTCGAACCCAGTGCCCATAGTTTCAAACGCCAAAGCGTTATCCACCACTCACTGAGGAATGCAGGCACATCCTGATGACGAGTCCCAAATAGGACGAAATGCGCATCCTGGCTGGATTCCACTGCTAGTCACCATCCATCAATTACTTTCTAACTACATGCGAAGACACATTGTAGAAGCATCTGCACAAGGAGGAGTCGACATGTCAACCTGAGTCTGAGCACTTCAGTCCAATCAATTGACAGGAAAATCTTAAATTCAATTAAATAACTATTTCCCAAATTGTTCTTTTTATTCTTTTCTTTCCTTCCTCTTGATCCTTTCAGCGTTACTAAAGACAGTCTTCACATGTTAATACGTATTATGACAAATGATTTTTGTATACCAGACTTTCAATCATTTGAAAATGAAATTGTAACAATCTTCAATGGATGTAAAACAATTAAGACGGGTAAAGTAGCAAGTTATATCCCAGAATTAGAACAAGTTAATCCAAATTATTGGGGTTTATCATTATGCACAGTGGATGGACAACGGTAGGTTTTATTTTTGAAGTCTATTTTGTGTGTGTGTGTGTGTGTGGTTAGTTTGTAAGGGGGCGTGTATTTGATTTGTTTTTCAAGATTGATGACGGATTAATATGAAATTAGAGAATCGTCGAAAATCTGCCTCAGAGAGTACGACGTAGCCAAATGTTTCGTCGTATTCAAGTGTTGGTTTGTAGGGATTTGGTTGACTGGTTACAGGATTTCATCATGAGCTGACATTAGTTAGAGAATCATTAAAAAACCAGCAGGGAATACTGGGCTGTAGTTTCGTCCTAGTTTGTGACTCTTCAGCAGTACGGACCCACCAGGATTCGAACCCAGTTTAACACTAGAAGGCAAGAGTCAGGCAACAGATCGTTTATTAAGAAAATCAACACATATTTATAGATTTTCATGTACATGTTATAGATTATTGTTAGCAGATAAACAGATATCAAGGTGATATGATTATGAGTAATAAATTGTGCTCGAAACGTGGTCATCAGTAAACATTACTGTATAACACTGTGAGACTTTATCAAAACAAAAAATTTACCCATAATGGAATTATACTCTACCACAGTGCACAAGTTTTATTCTTATATCAAAGCATGTACTGATCAAATTGCAACTCTGCGCATCGTTATCACAGAACGAAGCATGGAATAGCAGTCAAACCTCAGCCTGCATTAATCTCATCGACTTTAAAAAGACCTTCGACAGACAGCATTGACTGAGACGTAATTTGGAAACTCTTTCAACACTACGCCTTGCAGTAACTCAAGTCTTTATCAACCTCATTCAACAGCTGTCCATCTGTCAATGCCACACGTCAGGTGATCCACGCTGGGAGGCTTAGCAAAGCGTTCGTCGTGGATACAGGAGAAAGATAAGGCTGTCTGCCTATTATTACCGATGATATTCTCAAAAGTGATAGACTGGATGATGCGGAAGACTATGCACAGAGAGCTGGAAAACAGGAATACGCTGGAATGACGGATAAGAAGACTCTATAATATCTGGATTTTTCGTGTGGATGATTTAAGTTTAATGTCACACAGACTCGAAGACTTCCAAGGAAAAACCAACAGACTGGTAGAAGAAGCAGGCGATCAGTGAAGACAGGACTCAAGGTGGACATAGAGAAGATGGATGTGATGAAGACAACCAACCAACAGCAACGAAAACCAGCACCAATCACCATTAAAGGGAGATATTTAACAGAGTTTACTTGCTTAGCTTGCTAAGGAAGCATCATTTCAAGTACAGGTGGCAGCAAGAATGAGGATATCGAAATAGGAATCAGAAAACCAAGACGCATTTTCCTCAATCAGAAATCAGTTCGGAAATCGTCTGCACTCAACCATCAGCATAAAGAAAAAGGTTCGGATTCTGTTCAACACAAATATGAAATCAGTCAGTCACTGCTTCGATATGGGTCAGAGACTTGCACTGCGCGTGTGTCACAAAAGGCATTTCCGACAAGTTACAGATCTGCATCAACAACTGCCACCTTCTCTGGCACCATACTGAAGATGAAATTGCCAGCCGGCTAAAAACAAATCAACAGGCAAGAGCTGATTGCTCAGCAAATATGTAAGAGAAAGTGTAAATGGATTGGGCACCCGCTGAAAGAACGTCATCTTCAGTGTAATCCGTCGCTTGAGTGAAATCCCATTGTTTGTTGAGTTTCTCAAGGTTAAACTTTGTTACTGTTTTTCTCATTGTTTCCTTCATAACCCTGATTCGGGAAGTAACACTGATGTAAATTGTTGTCTACAATTTTTGGCTTGCAACCAGCCCTCACCACAACAATAATGTTGTATGGCCATAGAGCTCGGGGGATAAGTGTTTGAAGTGATTGATGAAGTTATATCCATGTGATCTTATAGCTGATTATGGATCACTGCAGGGGCAATAGAAATGTACATTTTCAAGGACGACTGTTTCTAACTGCCCTGTTTTCCCATCGATAAGGTAGTATAGCTGGCTTCCTAATTGTCCGAGCAAAACACCGTACTGTTTTTACACCCATCAGCGAGTCAACTTTGCCCTCAGGCCTGCTCTCCCCTGTCCGCTCCGTCCTCCTTTATGGTTGTGAGACCTGGCCACTGAGAGTGGAAGACATGAAAAGATTAGCTGTCTTTGATCATAGGTGTCTGCACTCTATCGCCCGTGTAAAGTGGCATAATAAGGTGAGCAACATGGAGGTTAGGCGTAGAGTTCTAGGTAAACTGGGGAAATCAATCGACGAAGTAGTGAAGTTACAAAGACTGAGATGGTTAGGACATGTGTTACGTATGCCAAGTCATCGCCTCCCTCGACAGTGAGCAATGTTAGCGGATATAGGGTCAGGCTGGAAAAAAGCTAGCGGCGGTCAAACAAAAACTTGGCTTTACCACTCAATGAAATCCACAACAGTTGGTCTAAGCCAGCAACGTAGGAAGGTGTAGACTTCCTGACTGGTTGGGGTCCTCGGGACGGTAAAAATCTATGGTTGGAAACAATTGGTGACATGACTAGCTCAAAATCGTTCTCAGTGGCTAGCGCAGATGCATCCACTCCTTGTGACTTATGATCTTCAATGAAACTGTTTTGTATTTCTTTATTACTCCTTTGTCTCACACCTCTGCTCACTGTTTCTATTATGCTTTTCTTGTACTTTCTTCTCTTGCTTCGCGTGCTACACGGAGTGTGGCGACTTGAACTTCCGCACATTTGTGCAAAATTCTATGTCGAAAACAGACAGACAGACAGACAGACAGCACAGGGTACACGAATAACACTGAGATTTTAACTGCCTTTAGTCTAACCCTTATTGAGACAACTTTTCATAGCATGGTAGGAATCGCAGACATTATAGATTGTTAGATTATCATGACATGCAAACCCGACCATCACATCAAGGTAGCAGCCATCTGCCATGATGATGTGTTGGTATGTAGTGTATTGATTTTTCCGTTTATGTATGTGTGTCTGTTCTACTATCTTTTGTTTTACAATTCAACAGATTGTCTATGGGTGATAGTAATGTACCATTTACAATGCAGTCAAGCAGTAAACCAGTCACTTATGCAATAGCACTAACTGATTTGGGTCCAGAATACGTTCATCAATATGTTGGATATGAACCTTCTGGTTTACCGTTCAATCAAATTTCCTTAAATCATAAAAGTAAGTGAGTATGTTGGCGTTGTTTCGTATTGATTTCCAGATTATTTGGTCTTATTTATCTGTTAAACATGTATGTATATATGCCTCGCGTGTACTACTGATGAAATGTATCGATAGTATATAAAGTGACATTCATCGGCCGGCATAAAAACATCATATAGCAGGGAGATAGATTTAATGCCAGAGAAAGCAGGTCTGATACAGAGTTGTGCAGACACATGGAAGAAGTTAAAGAAACACAAAGAAAGACAGTGTGAAGACGAGAACTAGCACACCACAGAAGATCTGCGCAAATGGCCAGGAAGAATTAGCAAGAAGAAACTGTAGAAACAAATCAGCGAAATGCCGACTGTTGAACAAATATGTAGGAGAAGATGGCGATAGATTAATCGGGTGTACAATGAGCACACCGTCGAATGATATCGAGGTCATTGCAGGCGATTGCTCGATCGGAAACTGAATTGGAAGCGACGAGTTGCGCGTCCTAGAATGACATAGAGGAGATGAGAGATGATGGGCAATCATCAGTTGATTCGATGAATAAAGCTTGCGTTAGCAATCTCACCCTCCACCCTGTGACATTAGATTTTAAAACTGTCTGTCATCTTATCCCATCCAATATTGTATGGTTGTGTGTAATTTCGTATAGTGTGTGTTATAGCTGAACTATTCTCTACATTTCTTATCTTATTTGGGTCAACTAATCTAGATTTTGCTGCTAGGTGTTTGTGCTCGGCTAGTCTGACTGCACTTGCTCTAATACTTTGACCTATGTATTTGACCTGACAATTATTCCAGGCAGGGTATTAGATAAACTGAATTGTTTTGTTTCAAAGGCTCCACAGGATTGATCCTTTAACGGACAAAGCTTCTTTCTAATTGAGTTTGTGGGTGGTTTGGATGCCACTTTTATTCCTGCCTGCCTTGTTAAGAATTATGCGTAAGGTTTCCGAGGCTCCTTCCTTGTATGGAATAATTAATGATGATTTAGATTCCTTAATGTTGTCTTGCGCATATTTGACATGCATGTCGTCATTAATATTACTATTATTATCACTATCACTACTATCATTATTTATTTTATTTTTACATTTCCCTACATACATCCTGATTACTTTATCCGGGTAATTATTAAGTTTCAAAGCTTCTCCTTTTATATGCCTTATTCCCTATCTTAGATTTTCCTTGATACTACTTAGTTTTCGTGCTCTATTACTCAAACATTTCACCAATCTTATTTTTACTGACATAGCATGGGATGATCGGAAGTTAAAATAATATCTGTTTGAATGTGTGTGGGTTTCCTGTAAACACTAGTTTGTTTAACTTCCCATCTTCTTTCCTTTTCTCTGCTACAATCTAACATTGGAAGTTCACCTTCCTGACTTTCCAATTCATACATGTAATAGGAATGATTCAAGACGTGTCCACCCAGATATCTGAAAAATTATACTTCCATGCCTACGACAACAAATAGGAGAGAACAAAGAAGACTTTAAACTTCAAGTTTCGAAGTTTTATGATTATAACTGACGATATGATTATGAACAATAATAAATTGTGTTCGAAACCTTGTCATCCAGTAAATAATACACATATGTCGTGTATTTTTTTTGGCTTTCAAGTTTCTGTTGCGATTGGGTTGATTTCCTGGGGGGGCAGGGTTGCTAACCCCACGCTCAACCCTCCATGTTTCTCAAGACTTAGGACTGACCAGTAAACAGCAATACTGTTTCATTCACTGTGTGATACATCTAATAAACAAACTAATATGGATTTACTAATCTGTTTTTTTAATTAATTAATAATATTTTCCCCAAATCTGTCATGAATACTTTCATTTTAATATTGTGAATAATATTCAGGGCAATACTATTGGCTTAAATTTTTAATTTTGATATGCAACGAAAGAGTTCAGATTTAGCCAATCCTGTCTGTATTCATCTCACCTTGAGATGTATAGTTTTCTTCTAAATTTATATTATTAACGATTTTTTTTGTCTAACGGTCGTTAACTCTTCTAACCGTTTAGGAAAAGAAAATAAGAGTACAGAAATTGGCGTACCTGAAATATGCATATATATATATATACATACAGAACATTAAGCTAGTTAGGGATAGAGTTGTAGGTTGACTGCACTATGTCTCGAGTATTATTCTATGATAGGCTGTTGTTACTGTGATTATTAATATTACTCTTTTGGGTTTCGACTGGAACACATACGGCTTCAACAGTACATCTCCAGTTTGTTCTATGTTCTGCTGTCCTCTTCAGCTAGCTAGCCACATGATTGCCCATAATCTCTCTTTGCCTCCTTCTCCTCCCCCTCTAACACTTTTCTCCTCCATGTCACCCTGGTACTGACGACCCACTCATCACTCCTCATTGGGATTCCAAACAGACGATTGCCTGATTAAGGCACGAAGTCATTCAACCGTCTCCTCAATGGTGCATATGCTCTATCCATCCACCTACATTTTCGTCTACATATTGGTTGAGCGATCAACTTTTGCCTGTTGATTTGTTTCCAGCCAGTCAGAGTTTCTTCTTGTTGCTGTTAATTCTTTCTGGTTGATGATCTGGTCTTTAGCATACAGCAGGCGAAGGCAGATGTCGAATGACAGGTTAAATAACAGGGGAAATTTATGAGTAACTTAGACAAGGAGACAAAGATAAGAGAAGCTCACACAATGTTGTCCAGTGATATTCACTGATGATCACACGCTTCGAGCACAAACTATTGCTACTCATAATCATATCAAGGCACTTATTCACATAACTTTCTTGCTTCATTTATATACATCAGTAAAAGTTGATGATTAAACATTTGAATAAAATCAATATAAGATATAATGCATTCGAAAAAAATATTAGTTTTACGAGTTGATCACGGATTGATATCAGTTAGAGAACCATTGAAAACCAGGAAGTACTGGACAGCTGCTGTTTCATCCTAGTTTGGGAATCATTGGTAGTACGCACCCACTGGGATTCGAACCCAGGACCTTCCGGTTACAAGGCAAGCTCGTATACCATTCAGCCACTGGAACCCGATTCAATGGCTCGTGAATTCTAACTTCTACCAATTCGTGATTTAGTGCGACCCCAACCATTGCCGTTGGTGGGACATCCATCCACACACGTGACATCTAATTGGACCTCACTGGTCACAACTTCTCACTAGAACTCAGGAAACTCTAACCTGTAGCAAGTCACTAGCGAGCATCAGATTAACTTTCTATAGTTTTTGGTTTGTAAGGATTAGTTATGTTTTACGAGTTGATCACGGATTGATATCAGTTAGAGAAGCATTGAAAACCAGGGAGTACTGGACAGCTGAATCGGGTCCCAGTGGCTGAATGGTATACGAGCCAGCTTGCCTTGTAACCGGAAGGCCCTGGGTTCGAAACCCAGTGGGTGCGTACTGCCGATGATTCCCAAACTAGGATGAAACAGCAGCTGTCCAGTACTCTCTGGTTTTCAATGGTTCTCTAACTGATATCAATCCGTGATCAACTCGTAAAAAAAACATAACTAATCCTTACAAACCAAAACTATAGAAAAAAATATTAGTGTTATCAACAAAATACAATAAGATTGGAGTTAAAATGTTTTTATAGTAAAATAAATTAGTAACTTGTTAGAATGCTATTATGTACTTGAATCGAAGTAGAATTTTAAGATTATTTATCATCCTCCTCTGATCTCACTGATGGTCATAATATATTCTACATCTTTGGTATTTCCGCTGAGTCATTTCTGTTGCATGTGTTGGGTGTGGGGAGACTCAATGAACCAGACAGGATTCTGTATTCAATCTCTCTCTCTTTCCACATACCTATATATATATATATATATATCTTTCTTTCACGTTCCCCAGTGGAACATAAGGCCTCAAGTTGGTGGCTTGAAATTTCTGTAGCAGTGTTTAATTTTACAGGACGGCGTCGCTAGCCTCATACCCAACCTTTCCTCTTTACCAGGATTATTTCTGGCTTAGCGAGGTAAGGGAGTGCGTCGGCCGGGGATCGAACCCTGGACCATGTGCACAGTCGGCTAGCGTCCTAACCGCTGTGCCACCGACGCGCTAATGCTTGTCACCGCCTCGAGGGTGGAGACGAGGTGACCTGGAGCACCTGGGCAACGATCCCAGTGTGGTGAGAGCAGGCTGCTAGCCAAATGGTAGACATTAATTTACGTCAATGACTATGTCGCTAATATTGGCCGTGAGAAAATATGAACAACGCTGATTCAACAACCAGTCACAGCAGACTTAACGTGGGCAAATACGATTAGCAGATATATGGCTCAACTTTCTCAGAAACCAGTCACAAGCAGCACAGAATAACCTTGAGCAAGAAACAACCAATCAGAAGACTGTGTTTGTCTGCTTGAATAAGCCATAATAATGTACATGAAATATATATATACCTGTTGATTTCCTCAATAAAGGATCTGTTGCCTGGCCCTTGTCTTCTGTTGTTACACCAGTACCTCCCGCATGCCAAGCGAGCACTCTACCATTTGAGCTAGTACCCCGACAAAAAAGCTGGGAATGTTGGCGCATCCAGCTGATTATTCCCTCGATGGCACGAATTCCATTTCCTGGATTTCACTGCTTGTCAACACTTACAGAAATAACTTTTCACGCTGTTGGTTTCTCAAATAGTAAAAAGTATCGCTACTCAGAAAACTCTTGTTCATCACAGCGTGTTCGCGTGCAGTTTTTGCGTGTGTCGCTCGTTTACTCACTTTTATGACAGCAATTGTTACCTACCTATATTACTTATCAGAATTTTGAATGCGCCCCACTAACCCTATTGTGTGGTTGTGTGTCAATGCTTGCAGTGCAATCAAGGAGTCGTGGCCAGTGGTGGGCTCCACCCTGCTGGGTGTGAGGACAAGTACTCGACAGAGAGATGACACTAGTTACTGGTAACTTTGAAATCACGACTAAGTAGAAGATGGAATTTATAAGCCATCAGACTGAATCCCAGTGATTTAATGGCCTAAATTTTAACCGGAAGGCCCTGAGTTCGAGCTCCGGTGGGTACCGACTAGGACATTTTCAATGTAATAATGTTGCATCATTGTCCTCACGCCGCTTATTTACTCCCATTTTTTCTCTCTCAATATTTTTATGCCCATTTTATAGATAGACCACACAATCCACTGATCAATTCAGGAGCTCTAGCAGTTTGTAGTTTAATCCAACCACACTTAAGTCCTCCAGAGCGTTTCAAGTATGTTGAAGGCAAATTCAGTCAAATGGCTGGTGGATTACCAATGGGTTTTAATAATGCTGTGTAAGTTGTCTCCCACCTGCTGCCCCTCACTTTCGTTTTTTTTGTTGATTCAGTGTTTCAATATCAATCATTCTACTGATAAATGTTATAAGTAGTTTTCGTTTTTTATTAGTAGTATATCTTCTTTCTTTCAAGATGGACTTCTTCATGAACTGACATCAGTTGGAGAGGTCAGTGATAACCAGACACCACTAGACAGTTGTTTTAATTCTTAGCTACTGACTCCTCCCTCATCAGTACATACCCATCACCCCACTGGGTTTCGATCCGAAGAATTTCGTGTTATGAAGTCAAGCTTGTTCAACATTCAGCCAACTGAGATGGAATTCGGTGACTCATGAGTTCTAACTGCGCCCTATTTCTCTACTAGTTAGTTTATGTGTTTCGAATGATTGATTGACTGACTGACTGGTTTCAACGTGGAACTTTACACAGATGTGCAGCACTTCAGGGTGTCACACTCTATGTGGCACACAGTGCGTAGGTGGAGCCGCGGTAGAATGCTTGCCAACCACGCATATGGTCTGGGGTTCAATCCCCGGCTAACGGACGCACTCCTCCTTCACCTCGCTAAGCAACCAGTAATAAGACAGGTGAATAAGGAAGGTTGGGCCAGGTGAGGCTGGCAACCTCATCCCGTAAACGTTAGGACCAAGGCTACGGAAATTTCAAGCCTCCACTTTGAAGCCATATATCCCATTGGGAAGGTAAAGAAGTAAAAAAATGTAGCAAATAAAGCAAGACAAGAGAGTAGAGAGAGGTTCAAAGGAGAGAGAGAGATAATAAATAGAAATATGAGGCAAAGAGAATAGTAATATGGAAGAACAATAGAATTTTACTGAATTTGATAAATTACAAGGAGTGAATGCACTTGCGCTAGTCATTGACGACGATTTTAAGCCATTTCACCAACTGTCTCTAGTCGCCAATGGTTCTTGCCGTCTCAAGGACCCCAACCAGTTGGTCAGGAAGTCTACACCTCCCAACGTGGTTGGCTGGCTGGCTGGCTGGCTTGAACTAACTGTTGTGGATTCGATTGACTCATAGAGCTATGATTTGGTTTGACCAGCCTTGGCTTTCTCCTTTCCAACCTGATCATTCCTATGTCAGCTAACATTGCCCATTGTTGAGGAAGGTGATGCCTAGTCATGCGTGCGTAACACATATCCTAACCATCTTAAGCAATATAACTTCAAAATCTCGCTGGTTGATTTCCCGTCCTTACCTAGAACCACTGGAAAACCTGGGAGTACTGGACAGCTGTTCATTCCTAGTTTGGGACCCTTCAGCAGTACGCACCGACAGGGGTTCGAACCCAGCACCTTCTGGTTACAAGGCGAGCTCGTAGACCATTGAGCTACTGGGACCCGATCCAATGGTCCTTGAATTCTAACTTCTAACTTTTGATGATTAGAAAGAATCTCAATAAGTCTGCTGAAGAAACTGTGACTTACACAGCGAAACGTTCAGAAAAATCTTGTTTCGATATAAATAATTTAAATAATTTATAATGAACTAATATTGTTATCGACTACTATTCTAGAATATTCTATGCGTATAAACATATATATAATTTGCTTCACCAAAGTAACTGTGGCCAAGAATCTGATCAACAGAGTCAAACGTCTAGTTACTGAGGAGGAAGATATTAACAAGGAACTAAAATTAGTTCAATCCACTCTTGAGTCAAATAATTATCCTAAAGCTTTCATAAACAAATACTTAAAATGTGAAGATAAGGATGAATCAAAACCTGCTGCTAAGAATTGGGTTAGTACAGCGGTGGTTCCTTACTGCAAAGAAATATCCGATGAAATAAAGCGAATCCTTAACGAACATAACATAAGAGTGTACTTTCGTGCATCTAACACCTTACGCTCATTGCTGGTGAAGGTTAAGGATAAAATAGAACAAGAAAACCAGCAGAATTGTGTATACCAGATCAATTGTGGGGAATGTAACGCAGTATATGTAGGAGAAACTTCTAGACAGGTAAATATAAGAATGAAAGAGCATAAACAATGTCTAAAGGTGGTTCCAAAGAGCTCTGCAGACTTGAAGAAGCTAGAAAACAACTCAGCGATTGCGCTACATTCAATAGAAACGGGACACAAAATCGACTTTGATAAGACTAAGGTTTTACAAAAAGGTTTTGGTTCATATCAAGAAAGACTGACTGCAGAAGCGCTACATATATGGGTGAATCCCAACAGTTTAAACAGACGTGAAGGTGTGATGTTAGCCGATGCATGGCAAATCCTGACTAATAAACAAAATAAAATTTGATATGTATGATCAAGTAGTCACACTTGGTCAAATTCCCGATTGTCTACTTCTTCTAATAGAGAGAATAACAAATCTATAAAAATTAAATTATATTTATAACAATGTCAATTATTTTGCAACTATCCGGTCAAATCTTGATCACAGCTCATATGAGAATAGCAAATGTTTTATGACCGTTCCACCCACCCACACACACATACACACACGCACACCGGTGTATCCTGCATATACTGCATATACACATATATTTTAACAAAAGTAGACAATTTGAATAAGACATTAAGAAGACAAATTTCGCCACGAGATGATATCGACATTTCGTAGTTTCTTTACAACCGCTTTACAACTAACATGGTTAACAATGATAAAATAAAGTTCATGAAAATTACTCAGTTAAATAAAAACAAAAGTACATACTAATGACCAATCATATTTAGATAGGTCATGTAGTCAGTTCATGGTAGGCGAAGATTGAAGTCTATTGATTTTTGTACACACAGTTTAGGCTGTATGTGATTAATCCCGCAAAGTGCTTCCATCACCTTCAATAACCAACTTTGAATTAGAGTTATGTGAAATAATTGTGAAACAGTCATTAATATTGATTTTGTGACCTGACATTAATAAGTGTTTTGCAATGGATGATGCTGGATTTCGATTAAGATTAATCGCGTTAGGATTGTCGATATGATTTACTAGCCATTTTGGAACATGTTCTTTTCGACGACATTGGAACATTCTGTTGGTTCTACCTATATATAAGCGTCACCGCAGCTGCAGGTGAACTTGTAGATACAGTTTGAAGTAGAGTCCACAGAATTTCGTCCTTTAATCGTAGGAACAGGGATCGAAAATGTTCGGCAAGTGAGAAAAAGAGATGTGGTGGCGTAGAATGTGCGTTTGATGGCTGATCGAAGTCTTTGAGTTGTCAACTGCATAATCTGGTCGCCCTTGAATGGTAGATTAATAAAGATGGATAGCTTTCTTTGCTACAGAAGCTGTCTTTTCGAGATGTGGTTTTTCTTTGCTGTGTCAAGTGATAAAGCTCTCCGGATAACCATTAGCTAATAGAACTGAATGTATATGTCGAAGTCCATCCATCAATGTGTCACTCGTGCATATTTTTCGGGCCCTTGAGAACAAACATTTCACTAGGGAACGTTTATACTGGATAGGAACAAAACTGGTAAAATGAAGATATTGTCCAGTCCATGTTTGTTTACGAAAAATAGCTCGCTGAATCGTTCCATCATTTCACCTAGTCATAGTAATATCCAGGAAACCGAGTTTGTTGTTGGATTCTAGTTCGGAAGTCACTTGAATTAGTCATGCAGAAAGACAGGTTCGAATGTGTTCCAGGTCATTTTCAAATAGATAAGGGGAGAGAGAGTATGAGAGATCAAAATTAAGATAAATTGCATTACCCTTCAATTACATCACTTAGATAAACAATTAGTCATTAGAGAATGTAATTTCAAAAGTATATATATATATATAAATATATATCCATGCATGTAAAGTATTCAGCTGATGAGTTCTATCGAAATTTGATGAATTCATTAAATCATCCTGCTTTATTAACCTTTATTGATTGTTTTAAATTCGTATCGGGAAATAAATGTTTTCAATATTGTTATTGACCACTATTCAGATTCAGATTTATTGGTTGAGGATAGAAGGCTTGGAGCCTATGTTAATCCTTTTCTGATAGATTTCTGTGGTTGTCCAAACCCTTCTTGAACGAATCAGTTGAGGTTGCAGACACCACTTCTTCTGGGAATCGGTTCCAAGAGTTTATGACTCGACGTGAGAACCAGTACTCAACAGCAATATGATTTCTCCTTGGCTTTTGAACTCTCCTGCTATGTCATCTAAGGTGTTCCAACCACCTGATGGGAAGGAAAAGAGAGAATAGGTCAGGTCCGTAGTCATTATTTAAAATTTTAAACATTGTGATTAAATCTCCTCTCTGTCTACGGTATGACAGTGAGAAGAGATTTAAACTGTCTAGTCTTTCCTTGTATGATAAGTTAGCTATGCCGTGAACCATACGTGTTGCCTTTTATTTGAACACTTTCTAGAATGTGTGAATCCCCTTTTAGAAAGGGACTGGCGGCCTGGATGCAGTTTTTCAGTCTTGACCTAACCAGATATGTGTATGAAAAGGTGAACATATCTCGGGTAATTCTTGTAAAGGCTCTGCGAATCGCCCATAAGGACCTGAAACTACGTGCAGCCACTGCTTTTTTCTAGAATATTCTGTGTATATAAACACATATATACAATTGTCGAGCCAGAACAGGAGGAAATTATCGAGAAGGATATTCTTCGCTCAGTTACTTTGTGTTTTTTTATAGATGCCTAAATGAAAATTTTCGCTATATTACTATTTGAATAGACTTATCTTGTCTAATATTGATTTCTAAAGCTTCACTTTATAGAAACAGTCCTAACTGTACAGTAAATATACTTTTCGCATTTTACAGCTTTTTATCAGAACGTGCTTCAGCGGATCGTAATTTTGCTATCGCTTATTATATGCGTGAGAATAAGTGTTTCCCGCCACCATTTGAATTGCGTGAATTAATGGATTTCTATTTTCAATTGTGTTCAATTGAAGTGAATTGTGAATCTATTGCTATCATGGCTGGTACACTGGCTAATGGTGGAATTAATCCGTTGACTGGTGAAACTGTTGTCAGTGCTGCTGCTGCTCGTGACACTCTGTCAGTGATGCATTCCTGTGGAATGTATGATTATTCTGGACAATTTGCATTTAAGGTATGTTGCATTATTGTTGTTATTATTGTTTCCTGGGGTTCGAGGTGGAATATAGGTTGGAAAACAGTACATCTCCACTTTGATCAGTTCTCTGTGGTCCTCTTTTGCTTGTCCCATGATTCTCCCGTAATTTCTCGTCTTTTTCTCGAACTACCTCACATGTATCACCCTCAGACGCAAGCTCTATTCGGGTTCCACTAGAGGTTATTCTTGGCGCGCGGTGTTATTCAACATTCTCGTCAGCGTGTGTCCGGTTCATCTCCATGATCCTCGGAATACTCAGAAATCCTAGTTGCTAGTTGTTTTTCTTACAGGCTATTCGATCTTCAGTAGGGGACTAGCTAAGGCGGCAGCGGTTGATGAAAGTCTGTAGCAGCCTGCTTATTAAAACGCTTTTCTTAACGTGGTGGCTAAGTTTCTATCTAATCCATGCAGAAGAATTGATTTAAATTAGTGCTGAAAATCTAAATCTTGTTTCTGATGCTGAATTCAGCAGACTTCCAGACTGATTTCAAAGTTAAGAAGACAATGTATTCAGCGAAGAGACTCTCTCCAACGACGAATTTATTATCAAGCTGTATAGTCGTATATATATGGTTTTTAAGAAATTATATCCGGTAAGGGAATTAGATCAGAGGTGTGAATACATGAAATAATAATAATAATAATAATAATAATAATAGCATGAAATACGCTTAAAATATTTGTGGTTATAGTCATAGTTAAGTGTCAGGTTATTATTGTTTCTTTTAATTCCTAGAGGAACATAGGGCTTCAGTCGCACATCTCCATTATGTTCGGTTTTCTGCCAACGTTTTCACCCCGCTCCAAGTGTGCCCACACGCTTTCTTCTCCTCTTCCTTCTCCTCCAAGTCACCCTTGCATTGACGACCAACTGGCCGCTTCCCTTTCGCGTTCTACTTGAGGGCATGTCTAGTAATGTCACTTGATGGTTTCCTCAGAGTATGGCCAGTCCATCTCCATTTCTTCCTGCCTATTTGCTGCACAATCAGTTCCTGCTGGGTTGGTTCGTTCATTGCCAGAGATCCGTCCCTGTTGCTGATCTTTTCTGGCCATCTGATCTTAAGTAGTATTGAGCGAAGACAGAGCTGCTGATGGAGGTCAGTAGTTTGTGTTGAGATGCTCTTTATGACGCGCCCATTCTCTGATCTGTATAGTAGCACTGACTGACTTCACATTGGAGTTGAAAATTCGGATCTTATTTTTAATTCTGAGTGCTGTTGACCTCCACACAGAATAGATGAGTGTAATGAAAGCTTGTCTTGCTTTCCCGATTCTTGCTTTGATGTCATCCTCAGTTCAGTCCGCCTGTAATGGAAACGATGCTTCCCAGCTAGGTGGATGAAGGAGGTTGTTTCTTTCAGGTTTCTCCCATTTATGCAGGGTGATTGTTTTCTGTTGTTATTGTTGTTGTTGTTGGTGTTGTCCAGGAATCTTCATCACCTACCTCCATTTTCTTTATGTTCACTTGGAGTCCTATCTTTGATGCTTCTTCCATCGCCTACTTGTTGCTTTTCACTTGCATATCTTCTAGTTTATGGGAAAGTGTGAATTAGCGAAACGTTTAATGTCATATATAGAATTTATGTCATAAGATGTACAGATATTGGAAAGAGGACATAATTTTAGGATTAGTAGGCGAATATAAAATGTTACATAACATGATGGTGTAAAAATTTGATAAGATAGAATTCAATATTGTAAAACAGAAATTTTTTTGGATTTAGAATGACAAGTGGGACAAGTGGAAACAATTCAGAGTGAGAATAGTAACAATAATAATCATAATAATCGTGGTAATAAGGGAAAACTACATAGAATAACTAAATAAACAAAATAAATAAATAAATGTCTATCCCTCTACGGCCAAGGCAGAAGTAAGGGTCGTACATACTACTTGTTTTGTACAGAAAGATCTGGCTTAAATTCATGAAGTGCCAAGGCCCCCGCTGTCTTTATTATTTTTTTTTTTATTTTTGATTACAGCTTGATTCCACACTGTATTTTTGGTACAAGTATGGAATTTTCAGCATGTGATATCGGTAGCCCGAATTTCGCAGGCCGACCATAGATATCAGGTGTGCGTCGGCGTGGGCTCGAACCCCAGACCATGTGCATGGTCGGCGAGAGTCCTAACCACTGTGCCACCGACGCACAGTCTATAAAGAAGAAATCGCGGCAAATTAGTACAGATTTGATCGATGGTCATAAAATCATGGTCAGGGCTGTCAGAGTGACGAGAGTTGATCAATTTTTCTAGAAGAGAGCCTCTCACAAACTCACATTCTCCTTGTAAAATCATACTGCTAGAATATGTTCTCGTATCTGTTTGGAAAGCGGCAGCCTTTGTCTACGGCCAATATACATTGTTCCACAAGAGCTAGTGAACTGATAGATTTACATGGAGGCGGCTAGACGACTTCATTTTCAAGCTGTACAGTCGTATTTATATTACAGGTAAAGTGGCACTAAATAATTGCTCAGTCAATATACATATATATGTGATAAGAATAATAATAACGGTAATTGTTATAAGGGGTTGAGTTGAAATGGATGGGTTACAAAATTATTAAAGATTGTTTACTAATTGAAATGATACAAAACACATTTTTTTTAAATGTCAAGCGTTGTCTAAAAATTTAAAAATTAGGATTTCGATTACGATAAGAAGAAAGATGTGAAGTGAAGTGGAATGAATTCAAATGGTAAAATAAAATAAAATAACTAGAAAGAATATTACTATGACCAAGGTAAAGAAAAAGGGGTTTAACAAAGCCATCGATCAAATCGCCTTAACAATGGATATCCTACAAAGTATGGTGGTACTTTGAACTTAAGATATAGACAGATTTTTCGAATACTCAGAGGTGGAGGCAATTTGTCAAATCACTTGTGAATTGGAAAGTCAGGAAGAGGAGCTTTCAATGTTAGATTGTAGCGTAAAAAGGAAAGAAGATCGGAAGTTAAATCCACTAGTGTTTACAGGAAACCCACACACATTCAAACAGATATTATTTGGACTTCCGGTCATCCCATCCTATGTCAGTGAGAATAGGATTGGTGAAATGTTTGAGTAATAGGGCACAAAAACTATGCAGTACCAAAGAACATCTAAGACAGGAAGTGGGACATATAAAAGAAGAAGCTTTGAAACTTAATAATTAATAATAATAATAATAAATTGATCAGGAAGTATGTAAGAAAATTCAGAAATAATATATAATAACAATAATGATAATAGTAGCAATAATAATAATAATGACAACATGCATGTCAAACATGCACAGAATGATGACAATACCAACAATAAGGAATCTAAATCATAGGTGGTAATTTTATACAAGGAAGGAACCTCGGGAACCTTACTTAGAATTCTTAACAAGGCAAGGATAAAAGTGACCGTCATTCAAACCCATAAACTCAATTAAAAACGAGCTTTGTCGGTTAAAGGATCAATCCTGTGAAGCCTTTAAAACAAAACAATTTAGTTTATCTAATACCCTGCCTGCAATGATTGTCACGTCAAACACATAGGTCAGAGTAGTAGAACAGGGGCAGTCAGTCAGACTAGTGGATCATAAAAACCTAGCTGCAAAATCTAGATTGGTTGACCCGAATAAGATAAGAAATGTAGAGAATAGTTCAGCTGTACCACTCACTGCATGCAGTTACACACACTCAAACATACAATAGGATGGGATAAGCTGAGAGATCTTAAATCTAATATAACAGCAGGTTGGAGGGAAAGATTGATAACGGAAGCTTTATTTATCAAACCAACTGGAATTAGGTACAGTGAGAATGATTCACCGCCTGTCCATATAGAAACCTGGAAAATTCTACTACCTCTACGACTAATAGGGTTAGGAATAAAGAAAACCATGAAATTCAAGTCTCGAAGTTGTATGTTATAACTGATATGATTATGAACATCGATAATTTGGGTTCGAAACTTTGTCATCCATTAAACAATAATACTGTTTGACACTGTGTGATTATGCATTTAATAAACAAATCTCCAAAAAAACATGTCGTAACCAGTAGGGTACAACAGGTCGCGTGTTAGGAGAAATACTCTGCAAAGACATTGGCTAGTGGTCGTGCCATATCATAAATTGGCAGAATTTGAAATCCAAGGGCTGGCCTTTAGATCGCGTCTGAGTGGTTTAACTATCCATGAGCTCTCCTTTTAACTGGAAGGCCCTGGGTTCGAATCCTGGCTGTAGGTGGGTACTGATGAAGAGTCCCAAACTAGGGCGAAACAGCTGACTGTCCAGTACTTCCAGATTTTCCAGCGGTTTTCTAACCGATATCAGCTCATGATGAAGTCCTGTAGCCTAACAAATTATGATGGAATTACATACTATCACAGTGCCCAAGTTTTACCCATATAATAATGGTGAAATTTCACCTTGACATGTGTAAACTACAAATAGCGAATTAATTTTTAAACTACGAATCTGACCTATTATATGGAAAAACTATTGATTTATGTTATAGTCAGTACTTACACAAACTCAGGTCGACATATGACCTAATATAGTGTGTACAAAAGTCGAGTTGCAGCTACAAATCAGGTATATATAAAAGTGAATACCTCTATAAATCTCAGCGATATTGAAACAAACAAATAATTTAGGTGTTTTATTCAGAGAACCCTCATAGAACTTTCTCAGGGATTATTTCCTTTTCGTTATCTCTCTACCAATTATTTGTGACCTTGATCCGTACACAATCTGACCTGTATTGTAATGATTCATGTGTTCATGCCTTCTTTAAAACTGTATGACAGGAACGCAAGTTTGATGATATAAGTTGGCTGGAGACATTTGGCCACAGGACGCCTTGGACATAGGTCTCGTTCTAGTTGGCACTCGTGAGCAAGGCGTGTATGCGACCTCGAAGGAACTCATGTTCCTTCCGAGATTCGAACCCGCGTCACCCACTAAGTGCTACCTGTAGTCAGAAACGTTGCCACCACTCACTTACTTTACTTTACTTCGGCTATCTCCTACGGGAGGATGAGCCGGCTTCATGAACCATGAAGTTTCATGGAAATTGGGTAGGAGTGATGTCCCCAGAATCGCTCGGCCTTTGTTTGAGAGTGCAGCTCTAGCCTTTACACAACCAAGTGTGACCTACAAGGCAGTAGGAGTGGAGTAGGGAGTCCACTATCCATTGGCAGCCGGTGACCGGAGTCCGGTTCATACGCCTTTTTTAATGGGGCCAGACATCCAGGGCATCCAATAAGCCCTTTGTCCATACGTCTGCCGGTGAGCTTCATACGCCAGTCGTTGGAGGTTTGGAATCAGGGTTTAGCCATCTCCCCTAGACTGTCATCCAATGGACAGTCAACCCGGTGAAGAGCGCCGGGCATCCGCTTTTGCCCTCTCACTTCGGTGAAAAACACCTCCGCCACGTGAAGGCAGTGAGTAGGCTTTCCTCAGGAGAGGTTATGTAAGACGCCTGGTCATATGGGGGTATTTCAAGAGGTGTGTGGAGGGGTGGCCAACCCGCAGCGCAAGACACCCACCCCCAACCATCCTGAGGCTTTGGAGGCCACCACTCAGCTATTCGGGCTAGCGGTTGACCTCCTGTAGGACTGTAATGAGTACTTAGGTTAGACACTAGCCAGTAACTAGTGCGATGTGTCTAATCCAAGGTCAAGTCAAGGTCCAAGGCTTCCTGTGGCCGATCGCCTCCAACCATCTAATGTCATTAAATCAATGTGCGCCGTGGTAGCAAGCTACCTAGAATGATGGCCACATTGCAAACCTGACTGACTGATATAATTCAGCCTGCACCAAAGAAAAACTAGACACAACACACTAGTTCCTAGTGTCCATTCAAAGAACGCGAGTGTGTGTGATCAGAATGTCTGAAATGTGTTGCGCTAATACATCACTCGTTCCAGATTAACTACGTCTTCTTATTGTGTTGTTGAAATTCATAAAGGGAACTAACTGCTTTAAACAAATATGTTACCTAATAATATATTCAGTATTTGGCACAGTTATTCAGAAGTCGTTTCTAAAGACAAACATATTGTAACGACAGAAGACAGGGCCAGGCAACAGATCGTTTATTGGCAAAATCAACAGATATTTATTATTATTATTATTATTATTAGTGTCATTGTTAGCAGAGAAGCAACGTCTTCTGGTTGGTTGTTTTGTTGCTGAAGGCATATCCTGTACTGCTTGTAACCGACCGTTTCTTAGAAAGTTAAGCCATGTATCTGCGAATTGTATTTGCCCGCGCGTTAAGTCCGCTGTGATTTGTCGGTGAAGCTCTCAAGATTAGGCTTCGTTCTTGTTTCTTTCATGACCCCGATTTGGGGACGTAAACACTGACGTAAATTAATGTGTTTAATTCTTGCTTTCAGACAACTCTCACCAAAATATCACATAATAGTCAATGATATAATCGAACTAAGATTGTAAGGTTTGATATAATGGAAATAGTTGTTAGATGAGAAACAAGATAATTGAGTGTCTATTTGACAGATGGGAAGAAGGAGATTTTTTTGATTGCACACTAGTCAGTAACACTAGTGTGGAATGTGTCTAGTCCTATCTTCACCGCAGACTGAATTCTATGACTCAAGCTTACAATGTGGGCACCATGCCACTAGGTGGCTCACCATTACGGTGCACTGTGCATTTCGGATTGTAAGGGCGATTGTTACTTCCCGGCTGCCCACACCGTGGAAGTTGGTTGCGTGACCGCAGAGCCTAGGGGACAACTGCTTGAGGCCGGTCACACGCGGCCTGTTTTTGTTTGTTCTTTTTTGTTTGGTGGTGGTTTAATAAGGTAAGTAATGTTGACGTCAGGCGTAGAGTGTTGGGCAAAGAGGGAAAATCGGTCGACGGGGCTATAAAGTTACATAGATTGAGATGGCTAGGTCAGGTAGGCGCATGCCTAACCATCGCCTCCCCCACCAGACGGGCATTACTAGCTGATATAGGTGGAGGTTGGAAAAGAGCCAGTGGTGGCCAAACAAAAACATGGCCTCATCAATCCATGAAATCCTTCACAGTTAAACTGAGTCGGTCAGGTAGGAAGATGCAGACTCCGGGTTGGGGCCCTCGGGACTGACTCTAGGAATCAATCAATGGCTGGAGACAATAGGTGACATGGCTCAAAATCGTTGTCAATGGCCAGCTCAGATGTATTCAGTCTCTGTAATCTTTCATATTCCTTTCTACCATTACCCATTCTGTTTCACTCTTATACTTGTCAGACTGTATTGATTCTCTTCACTCATCTTCTTGTCTACCTTTGTGTGCTATTTGGAAGGTGGCAACTGGAACTGGTGCACTTCGGTGCGAAGTTCTATGTTGAATCCAGACAGACAGACAGACAGAGACGGTGCACTGTGAGATGTTGGTATTAGATGGTTGGAGGCAATCGGTTATAGGAAGCCTTGGACATAGGTTTCGTGCTAGTTGGCACTCATCAGCAGAATTCAGCCTGCAGCGAATATAAGACTATACACATTACACTAGTTACTGACTAGTATGCAATCACAAAAATATCCGATAGAGTCCTACAGGAGGTCAATCGCAAGCCTGAATAGCTCAGTGATGGTAACATCTCTGACTGCAGGCGATACTAGGTGACGCGGGTTCGAATCTCACAAGGGACATGAGTTCCTTTAAGGTAGTTGCAGATACGGCTTGCTGATGACTGCCAATTTGTACGAAACCTAGGTTCAAGGCTTTCCGCCGATTGCCTCCAACCATCTAATAGCAACAATTCACAGAGAAGAAGGAGAGAAAATAACCTTGATAAAATGTAATCAAGATATATGTACATGTACATGGTCCGGGGTTCGTGCCCTCGCCGACGCACACCTGATATCTATGGTCAGCCTGCGAAATTCCGGCTACCGATATCCATGCTGAAAATTCCATACTTGTACCAAAAATACGGTGTGGAATCAAGCTGTAATCAAAAATAAAAATAAAAAATAAAATAAAAAGTGTGATAATTCTGAATCACTTGTTAAAAACAGAAGCATACAAATAGGAAAAGGTATAAGCCCATGGTACAACAAAGGACTGAACAAACCTTTCCTTTACACATACATTTCCAACATACATGAGTTCTGAAACCTAAGAATTTGTAGATCATTTTCAAAGATGACTTTAGTGGAGCTACATGGTTTCAGTTCATCAGGTTCTCGCGAAGAGGTCTGGTAAATATTGTCATTCATCATCCTTTTGATAACGATACTGAATGGTGTTCAGAGATGATTTACGAAAGTGTGCACTCTATGTAGTTAATTTAACCAACTCCACAATAATTGATGTGTGATCACGAAATCACTTCAGTACTGGATAGATGTATCATTGTAGTTTGGGAATCTTCATCAGTACGCACCCACCGCTGGAGTTTGAATCCAGGACGTTCATGTTACAAGATAATCTCGTAAACCATTCAGCCGCTGGGATCTAAAACACTGGAGCATAAATTCCAGCTTCCGCTGATTTCTGATATATTGCCGCATACGAGCTCGGCGTTATAAGCGGGAAATCCTGAGTTTGAATCCCAATGGATACGTGCCGATGAGGAGTCCCAGGCAAGAACAAGAACGATGTCCAATACCTTTAGGTCCTCTAATCAATATTAGATTGTGATCAACCTTGTAACAATTAATATGATCATTTAAAATCTTATTGTTCCCAAAAGGCTTATATATTTTGCTGACGCATATTTCTCTTATTCCATTTTGCATTTATATGAAATCAAGGTTGGTTTACCATGTAAATCTGGTGTTTCTGGTGTCATCATGGTTGTTGTACCTAATCTACTTGGTCTAGCTTTATGGTCACCGCCTATTGATCGACATGGGAATTCAGCTAAAGGCATACACTTTTGTCAAGTGAGTTGGTTATATTGATCCCTACCAATTTCAGTAATATATGTGATTTACATGAATATTTTTCTACTCTTTAGTTTTCTGTTGAATTCAATACTATTATAAATAATCGCATAAATTCTGTTTCACGGGTAGATATTGATATGAAATCTGTAGTAGGCTGTTAGAAATGCATTTTTGGCAGTGTATGTTAGACATATGGAACATGTAAAGCTACTGAGTTGATTGATTTTAGGGATGTCAGTTTTAGATGCTATTTTTTTTATACTAAGTTTAGCAGATTTCACCCATTGATTTCAGATTATTGAAGGACTACCTTTTTTTTCCCATCCCTGCTCGTTTTGACAACTTCATCTGTTGAAGAACCTAGAATCCTCCTTCTTTATCATCCTGAAGAAGGACAACTGAATTGATGAACATGGGATCGTCTATCGATTTAGATGCCTGGAACGCATGTTATAGATTCCTTCGTCGAGAGTAAGGGTTGGTCAACACAAATATGATATCATTTTATGAAATCTTTGGCAGCTAGCTTGCAGCCTCCACCCAGGAAGATGTACACTGCCTATCTAAGGTCCTTGAAATACTAAGTGCTACTGGCTGGAGATTGTTGGTGGCTATGATAGAGATGATTTGTAGCTCAGGTGGATGATTTTGATGTGGTTGTGTTCTCTCAGCTAGCTGGATGGTTAATTTGCGAAGCTTTAATCGCCCTAATGTCTGTCTGTCTGTTTTCGACATAGAACTTTGCACAAATGTGCGGAAGTTCAAGTTGCCACATTCCGTGTAGCACGCGAAGCAAGATAAGAAAGTACAAGAAAAGCATAATAGAAACAGTGAGCAGAGGTGTGAGACAAAGGAGGAGTAATAAGGAAGAACAGAACAGTTTCATTGAAGATCATAAGTCACAGGGAGTGGATGCATCTGCGCTGGCCACTGAGAACGATTTTGAGCTAGCCATGTCACCAATTGTTTCCAACCATAGATTTTTACCGTCCCGAGGACCCCAGCCTGGAAGTCTACACCTTCCTATGTGACTGGCTTAGACCAACTGTTGTGGGTTTCATTGACTGGTGCCAAGGGTTTGTTTGACCTCCGCTAGCTTTTTTCCAGCCTGACCCTATATCCGCTAACATTGCTCATTGTCGAGGGAGGCGATGGCTTGGCATACGTAACACATGTCCTAACCATCTCAGTCTTTGTAGCTTCGCGACTTCGTCGATTGATTTCCCCTGTTTACCTAGAACTCGACCGATGCCTAACCTCAATGTTGCTCACCTTATTATGCCACTTTACACGGGAAATAGAACGCAGGCACCTATGATCAAAGACAGCTATTCTTTTCATGTCTTCCACTCTCAGTGGCCAGGTCTCACAACCATAAAGGAGGACGGAGTGGACTGATGAGCAGTACACCCACCCTTTGGTCGATAGTCGAACATCTCGTCTACGCCAGAGTCGGCGTAAACTAACAAATGCGAAACGAGCTCCTTGTATTCGTGCTGAAATTTCGTCAGAGATCAGCCCGTTGGCACTGGCTGATGGTACTTCCCAAATAAGTGAAGCGGTCAACGTGCTCTACCACTTCACTCCCTATTTCTAATCTAGGAGTCGGTGTAGTCCAGTCCTGTAACATCATCTTGCATTTGGCGGGAGCGAATCGCATGCCAAACATTCGTAGATTGCGGCTCAAGGTGTTTAGAAGACTCTGCATTTCGTCAGCGTCTTCGCCTAGAAGGACTATATCGTCTGCATATTCCAAGTCAACGAGATTATTCCTTCCCGGGTAGCAAGTCAATCCCTGAGTCGCTGAAGTCACTTAGGGTTAAGTCCATTAACACATCTATGATGAAGTTGCCCTAATAGGCAACATTTTCAGCGAACACTTCAAACTGTTGAAGTGAGCTTCTTAGATTTCTCCATGAGTTCACCATTAGTCATCTCTCCCCATGGGTGACCTTTAACGTGATTGGTTGTTTTTGTGTGTTTTCACACCCTCTAGGCAAGACCCTTTAAACCTTTGGCAATTAACGTCGTACACAAACCAACAAAGTCACTTCACTCAATTCTGTGTCAATCAAAAGACTCAACAGCGAAGGAAAATAAAACCAACATCATCTACAAAATAAGTTGTAACAACTGCGAAATACACTATGTTGGCAAAAGTGGACGTCCCCTTCCTCTTCGTATCCACGATCATAAGCTAGCCGTCAAAAGACATGATATCCACTCCCTCACTCATGTCACTACACACAGACAACCACGGACATCAATTCGACTGGGACAACCAACGTTCAAATATTAGACAGAGGAAACAACAAGAATGCTAGAGAATTTTTAGAAGCCCGCCCAGTATTCCAGTGAATCATCAATCAATAGACACACCGAGATAGACAAAATTTATCAACCAATAAGAAAGAAACTTCACACACCAAGGGTCAAAGTTCAAGTCAAGAAAACAATCAGTTCCAATACAAGTAGCCTAGAAGATGTGAAAACACACAAAAACAACCAATCACGTTAAAGGTCACCCACGGGGAGAGATGATTAATAAACTCGTGGAGAAATCTAAAAGCTCACTTCAACAGATTGAAGTATGCGCTGAAGATGTCACCCAGTAGGGTGATGAAAGCTTCGCAAATTAACCATCCAGCTAGCTGAGAGAACACAACCACATCAAAAGTGTTGGTGGCGCAATATGCAGATTCATTCGTTTTTTGTGATCCTTCGTGAAATAATTCTCTCTCTCTCTCTAATGTGTTACCTGTTATTACATTTCCGGCGTACTAATGCCAATCAATACTATTTTGGTATCTGGGTGTTTCTATTCTGGGCTGAAGTAAATCTACCAAACAAGGAAAAAAATTGACAACAATATCAACTGTAAAAATTTACATATAGTTCAAAATCAATCAATAGAGTGTGTGTATGTCTGTCTGTCGCGTCGTTTTGTCTTTTTGGACATTTATGATCGATTAACACCTGGTTCTTATCTTATTCGATCTGATCTGATCTGAACTGAACTGAACTAAATGTGCGATACAGATTATTTATTATTATTATTTTTACTTCTAGTTCCTAGAGGAATATAGGGCCTCAGCCGCACGTCTCCATTGCGTTTTGCTTCTCCACCAACTTTTTCACCTGGCTCCAAGTCTGCCCAGATGCTTTCATCTCCCCTTCACATGACCTCCTCCATGTCACCCTTGCACTGTCGACCAACTGACAAGCCACTTTCCGTTCGGTTTCCACTCGATTGATGGCCTGGTGTATGATGTCACTTGATGACGGTTTGTTTTCTCAGAGAATGATCAGTCCACCTCCATTTCCTCCTGCATGTTTGTTGCACATTCGGTTCCTGCTGGGTCGGTTTGTTCGTTCATTGTCAGAGATCCCTGTTGCTCATCTTTTCTGCTGGCCATTTGATCTTCAAGAGTATTGAGCGAAGACAGCTGGCTGTTGATGAAGGTCTGTAGTTTGTTTGAGGTGCTCTTCATGACGCGCAGTGCAAGTCTCTAATCCGTATAGTAAGTAGCACTGACTGACTTCACATTGGAGTTGAAAATCGGGTTCTTATTTTGATTCTGAGTGTTGTTGATGTCGACACAGACTTGGGAGTAACGAAAGCTTGACTTGCTTTTCCGATCCTCGCTGCTTTGAAATGATGCTTCCCAGGAAGGTAGGTAGGTAGGTAAAGGAGGTTGCTGCTTTCAGATTATTCGCATTTATGCTGATTGTTGTCTGTTCTTGTTGTTTCTGTTGCTGTTGGCCAGGAATCTACATCACTTACTTCTGTCTTCTCTATGTTCCCCTGAAATCCTGTCTCTAATGCTTCTTCTGTCACCGATTTGTCGCTTTTCACTTGAATATCTTCCAGTTTATGGGAAATCAGACAAATATTATCGGCGAAGTCCACATCCTCCACGTTTTTTGTGTGGGTCCATTTTATACCTGTTTCCCCGTTGCCCACCTTCGTCTGTAGCATTATCCAGTCTAGCGCAATTAGAAGTTTATATAAATTTATATCATTTATCAAGTTTATCATAATTTATGAAAGCCCAAATAAAAGCTGACTGTGGCAGAAAAATGGCGTTCAAGTAGATTTAAATCCTCTAGAAGAAGGATATTTAGATGAGGTTTGCGGTAAAAACTTTTAGAATACGGGGAGATTGCAAGTCTTGAGCCAGTCTCTACTTTCGAAAACTAGTTTGACAGCCATATCATCATCAATAGTCTCCAAGTATTCTTTACTAATATCTTGAAGGCTTCAAAGAGATGATCTACAGTCTACGTAAAAAAATGTATCCGCCGCATAACTTACTGACGATTATTGTAACAACAACAAATATTATATATTTTATAATTGTGAGAACCCAGAAGGTCCTAGGTTTGAACCCCGGCGGATATGTCCTGATGGAGAGGCCCAAACTAGGACGAAACAACTGTCCAGTACTCCCAAATGGTTTCCCAATGGTTTCCTAACTGATGTCAGCTCATGATGAAGTCCTCTATTCAAATAAACAAAATCCCTACAAAACCAATACTTGAAAATTGTAAGAACCTGAAGAGAAGGATGTACTGAAAAGAATATTCTTCATTCAGACAACTCATTTTAGAAATCTTTATACCTTAATAATAATTAAATTTTTATTTTTTATTTTCTAGGAACTTGTTCAACGATTTATTTTTCATCATTACGAGAGTCATTTACATTATGATAAAAAAATTGATCCAAGGAAACCGAGAGATTCATATCGTACAGATGCGATTACATCATTACTGTTTGCAGCTGGTAACAATGACTTGGCAACACTTAGAAGGTAAGAAATACATCTTTCTTTATTTTTTTTTACTCCTTCACGTTCCCAGTGGAACATAAAGCACCTTCAAGCTAGAGGCTTGAAGTTTCGGTAGCACTGGTGTTTATTCGTCTTTATGGAATGGGGTTGCTAACCTCACCTAGCCAAACCTTCCCTCTTTACCAATCTTACTGCTGGTTTGCCGAGTAAAAGGAATGCGTCGGTGACCGGAGATCGAACCCTCAACCAAAGGAGTGGTTGGCTAGCATTCTACAGTTGTGCCATTCTTATCGATTGACCTTTCATTTTTGCTTAACATTCTACTCACCTTATTTTACCACCAAATATTGTCCTCTTTGGTCACAAAATTTCTACCTAGTGGTTTGTGAATTATATAACAGGATGTTGGGTATTAAACACATAATTACAATAAACAAGGAACTACTACTTAGAAACTCTTTTCTATCAAATTTAATTGTTTCTTCTAAGAAATGAATACTGCTCATGATATCATGGTTCTATAGATCTATCGTTATAGTACAATTGCTTCCACCGGACCACCCTATATTTCTGTACATCTTATGAGTGTATACACCAGGTCTATATTGGTATTTTGCGAATTCTCTGCCACCGACATGGAATCAAGCAAAACTCACCTCACTTCCCCGGTATTATTTCACTTGTTCTACTTGTCATTCTAAATCAATTCTTTTTTTTTACAACGTTAAATTCTATGCTATTAAATTTCACACAATATTAAGTAACGTTTTTATTTTATTCCATTTGTCTAATAATCCTATAATTGCACACCCTTTTTTACAAGTTCTATCCATCCTATGAATTAATGTTCTATTTTTGATGTGGTTTTGTTCTCTCAGCTAGCTGGATGGTTAATTTGCGAAGCTTTCATCACCCTACTGGGTGACATCTTCAGCGCATACTTCGATCTTTTGAAGTGAGCTTTTAGATTTCTCCACGAATTTATTAATCATCTCTCCTGGTGACCTTGGACGTGATTGGTTGTTTGTGTGTGTTTTCACACCTTCTAGGTTACTTGTATTGGGACTGGGAGAAATCTAAAAGCTCACTTCAACAGATTGAGGTATGCGCTGAAGATGTCACCAGTAGGGTGATGAAAGCTTCGCAAATTAACCAACCAGCTCAGAGAACAAAACCACATCAAAATCATCCACCTGAGCTACAAATCTTCTCTATCATATCTAATTAATGTTCTGTATATGACATTAGCTGTTTTGCCACTTGACATTCAACCATGATTATAATCACAAACATTTTAGTTTTGAATTGCATTTCATACTACTGTTATTATTATTTTATGCATTCACACTTCCTAACATCAATTTGTTCGAATAATGAACTCCATTTTTGTATGTGTACATTATAGGGCAAAATAAGTAGTTGATATTATTTGAAAACTACAGATTGAATCATTATTGAGCTAATTGAATAAAAAACAGCATAAATAGCCTAATTTCCAAAATTTATTTCCATTGTCATTAGGCATACTACTTATGAGTAGATATAATCAATTACAGGTTATTCATAAACAAAATAAAATAAAATCCATCTACATTATACTAGGAATAAACCTTAAAATGAATAATATTAACATGAATCTTCAGTTTTTTAATTTGTATTAGTAATTATTTTAAATATTGCGCCATGCAAAGGAGGATATATTAAAACAAAGAAAAATGTCACATTGAACATTGAATAAAAATAAGTTGAGACAAAGTTTTAATTATTTAAAAGTATACCGATGCTCTCGGCATAATTTTCGTATTATTTTACTTCTGTTTGTGATTCCAATATATGTGTTCTGCAAAATAGCATTGGCAAAAGACTCTGTTAGTGTTGGTTTACCCCTGAAAATGGAAGTTATAAAACTGTCCAGAATTTTCTTTTTTGGCGCAAAATTTTCAAGAGTTAGAAGTTCTTAAGTTTAATAGGAAAGTTTTGTCCTATCTGACATTTATCCGTTGGATTTACATTGAATTTCCATGAGTGATGAATAAATTTCACACTGTGAATTCATCCTTTTAAAACGGATTGCGCTATTATTTTTCAAGAACTATTGAATACTAGAAGGGAGTACTGGATAGCCAGCTGTTTTGTCCTAGTTTGAGGACTCATCGGCAGTACTCACCCACCACTGGGTTCTAAACCTAGGACCATTCGGTTACTAGGCGAGCTCGTATATCATTCAGCCAATGGGACCCGACATCTCAGTGGGTAACATATTAATTCTAAATTCTACCATCTGGTGATTTTAGCGCGGATTCCATCAGCCAATATCGTCGCTGGCAAGTTTTTTGTCCTCACCCTCGACAGGATGGACCCCATTAGTAATCACTCCTCGCTATAACTCTAGGAAACTCCCTCCTCTAGCTAGTCACCAGAAAGCATCACATTTATTTTCCAAGTCTGGCCACGGATTCATATCACCTGGAGACCCATGGAATACTAGAAGGAAGTGCTGGATAGCTGATATGTATCCATATATATATATATATATATATATATTATATATATATGTATGGTGGTCTCTCTTTCTGTTGCTCTCTTAGTCTGTGACCATTTCACTTTGATGAACCTGTCTCCTTTAACGATGTATATTCCCCTTATATTATATATAATATGTGTGTTTGTTGACAGTCTGTCCTCGTGATATATATCCATATAATATGTGTGTTTGTTGACATGTCTGCTATATTTTGCTATGTATATATGGATCGATACTTCATTATAATTAGCTAATCATGTTAAGACTGTCTACTGATTTGTTCACACACTTGTTCGGACACTCATATATATTTTTGCTCTCACACTCTTGTGTGACATATTGATTCTCCTTGTGTTTGGAAAATAGAAGTATCATCTCAAACCTAGTGGTCTTCTGATTTCCGTCTTTCTTGCGTCAGGACTATTAAATTCTCGACCAGTCCATAACAATAATTTGGCGATGAGTACATGATAATAGCCAACTGTTTCGTCCTATTTAGGCCTTACCTCTGAACTCCACTGCTATTCATTATCCAGCAAATTAATTCAGATCATATCTTCAGACAGTGTCGAATGATTCTTCACCAGCAGTCGAGATGCCAACACAGAGAGACTTACAGTTTCCGTCCAATCAAGCAACGGGAAAATCAATGTTGTAACTCGTTACATACAAGTTAGTGGCTCTTGTTGACCTCAGTCGGTCTAGTAGGCAACACTAAAACGTTTGAGACGACCGGTGTACTGGGTTTGAGTTTCATCGTGGAGAGCAACATCCAGCGGTTGACGAGTCCCAATAAGGACGAAATGCGCTTCATCCTGGGCTGATTCTACTGCTTCTCAGCATCCATCAAAATATATACAGTAATATAAGAAAAAATAATCAGAAAATATCCTTCTAATGCAGACAGATTCCGAAAATATTATGAGATGTAATAAATCGATAATTGCCTTTATTGATTTTTTTGTCTTTATTCACTCATAAGTAAAACAATCAGTGAACTATGAAAATCAATAATAATATGCTAATTACATTTAAGTGAGTGTCATTCAGTAATTGAGAATAGTGAAAAGATACTTCCCTTCATTTATAAAACAAATTAACGAACTTGAAACTACCGGAAATTTAGAAGTTTTGTACTGCTGTCTTGTTCTGTATTTTGAATTTTTGCAACAATGTAGGGTCAGTGTCCCACTTTTGCTTTAATTTTAAGAATAGTTAGATTTTCTAGCAAATATGGTGTTATATACTACTGATGGGTTGATATGAGTAGTTTGTTAGCAGTCACATTAACCAGTAACGCTTGCTACTAGCCATTTTATCCGGTTGAACTCATCTCTGAGAACTGGATCACATTTCCATTCGGTTGGTTTAATAGTGTTTAAAACACTTTGATCTAACTGACAAGCAACTACAACCAGTTGACTTAAGGGGTATCCACCTACTCATATCCATTAGTCAGTAGTACATAGCATCATGCATTTATCTTATCAAGTTGAACAGATCTTCGGTTCACCAAAGGAGACTGTGTGGTGGTAAGATTTCGCCTCATCGAAGTGTGTTAACTGCTAATTGAGTATTATCATTCAGGATTTCATCATGAACTGATGTAGGCTAGAGGATCATTGGAAAACCATAAGGGAGTAATGGACAGACAGGTTTTTCCTCCTAGTCTGGTACTTTTCATCACTACTCACACATCTCCAAGGGTTTGGAACCCAAGACCTTCCGGTTACAAGACGAACTACCTCATTGACCATTAAGCCACTGGAATCCAATTTAATGGCCCGCCTATGAACCACAACTTCTTCCAGTTCATGATAACGGTGCGACTGGCTCTAGCCAAAGTAATTTACGGCGAGTATTTTTCCTCACTGGTCAAATATTCGCCGATGACAACAGCTGGTGGTCACGCCATAACATCAATTGGCAGAAGTTGGAATTCATAGATTGGTTATTGGATAGGGTCACAGTGGCCTAATGGTCTACAAGCCAGCTCACCTTGTACGCAGAAGATCCTGGGTTCGAACTATTGGCGGTGGATGAGTACTCCTAAAGAGTCCCCAAGTGGGACGAAATAGCTGGCTGTCCAGCACTGTCAGGTCATCCAATGGTCCTATAACTAATGTCAGTTCATGATGAAATCCTGTTACCAATCAAATCCCTGTGAAACAACATTTGAATGGTCATTCAGTTATCATTATTTTAGCAGTAGAAGTCGTGGATGTGATTCAATTTTGTTGACCTATAACTCAGTTTTCTATCACCTCTAATTTGTCATTAGTTTTTTGGCTAGTTTGAATTTTTTTAGAGAAGGCTGCTTACAGTAGTTCATTAGGCAAGTAAAACCATAAATGATTCAAAATGCCCATTAAAATTTTCAAAAGAATGATTACTGAATAAAGAATACTCTTTTCGATGACCACTTCGTCATCAGGCTGTACACTTATATATATCCCTTATATTGGATGAATGAATTAGTGTTATGAACAACAGTAAT